CCATAGTTCCCTCACAGCAGTTCGGATTGCTTCTTCACAGGGGAGAATGTTGTAGGCAGCTGAATTAGATAGAAATATTATAGGCAACTAGTCAGACAGGGCCAGGCCCTCAAGGAGACAATATGGAAGACAAGGTGACTTTTCAACTTGGAAGAGACAGACATTCCCATATGGGCCACACCTCAAGACAAAAAAGTAAACAAAGGTAGCCACATACTTCCCTAGAGATGGGCATCAGTGATTGATATTCTAACTAAGTATCAATCACCCAGACATTCCTAATTCACTTATATTTAATGGCAACAATTGACTTTGTGATGAAATTAAGTAGCATGAAAAAGGTAATTTACACTAGATTGGCTCTAAGCCATCTAGTTTAGTTCCAAGGTCCACTTTAAATGTTTATGTTGGTTGTGGAATGCTCTAATACCATTCTCATGTGTTTCTTTACTTTCCAGCAAGACCATGTATTGATCTGCTAGCTATGTTTTGTCTCTGCTATTATTAGGAAGTGTCTGTGATTCATTTGATTACAACATCAAGTAATAAAAATATCTTTAATTAGGAAACCCAGCTTACACTCCACTGTCCCTGTGGGGCATTTGCAATCGCCAGCTCTCTCTGTTCTTTTGGAATTTCCATTTTAGGCTCTAACATGATGTCATCTCTAGAACCCAAAGGCAGGAGTGACAGCGCCAGCTGCAGCTCTGCAGCTCTCCTCAAGCTGTTTCCATTTTCCCTAGGAAATCACGATCAGAGTCTTCATCCATAAACTGGGATGCTACTCCCATGTTGTGTTGTTAAGTACAGAGAATGACCGCCTTTGCAATAAAGCAAAAATGTGGGTTGTGGGTCCAGCCAAATAGCTCAGTGGATTCAAGTGCCTGCAAGCAAGCACAAGAGCCAGGGATTTGATCCCCAGGCCTGCTGTGCTGGCCCCACCCCCAGGGTGCACTGAGATGGCAATTGAGAGTGGGTGTGGTAGCACATCCCTCTAATCCCAGCACTTGGGAGGCTGTAAACAGGTGGATCACTATGAGGCCAATCTAATAGTGAGGCGCTGAACACCCCCTAGACCCTTCCCTAAAAAAAAAAAAAAAAAAAAAAAAAAAAAATGGGTTGCCACAGTCATCCCTTGCCAGGCAGTCACAGATGCTGAGGATCCCCAGTGGTATACACTTGTTAGAGATTTCAGGGTCTGATTGGGCAGCTTTCTCTGCCACTTTTCCTGACCCAGCCATGATGGGAAGTTACACAGCATGTGAAGGCCACTCTGCTCCATAGAAGCTGTGTGACCCTTACATTCCACTCAACAGCCCTCCTCTACCTCTCAGACCTCCTACTTCTACCCTGGCCAACCCTTACCAGGGCCACAACTTAGAAGTTGTCATCGGTAGAACTACTCAGAAATCTTTAGCCCCTCAATTTTGATCCTTCATTCTAATTTACCTTTCTAATCTTCTCTGTCTCCCACTGCTACTCTAGTCCTCTCTGGCTTGATGAAACTCAAGTCATTTGTTTCTTTCATTGTCTTTTTATTATGATTTCATAATAATATTATGAAATTTTTTATTAGTACATATTTATAGTACACGCTGATCACATTTTCTTCCACATTGTCAGTTCCCTTTCTGGCTCAGAAAAACAATGTTAATAAACTCACTGAGAGTGATCTTCATCGCCCTCACTTCTTCTAAAACTATTCCAGGACACTCCATTCTCTGTATGCACCAAGAAATTTGATGACACCAGATGTATTTTCTGTAGACCTCCCTACCTGCATCATGCTGCCTGCGCCCAAACCATCCTTGCCCTTGCCCTTGCCCTTGACCTCTCAATTTCTTTGCAACTCCTCATCTTTTCTCCTCCCTTCTCATCAAAGCTTTACAAAGAATATTCTATTTTACAACAACAACCTCTGTGGTCCCCACTTGTTTTCCTCTTGTACATCTTCAGTCCACAGTTATCACGTGAAATGGTTGTCACCAAGGTTATAATGACCTACTGTTTCCAACATGACTATCTTCCATCTTCATTTGGCAGGACGCCAAATGTCCTGTGGGTAGCACTCTTATTCACTTCCTTATCCCAAAAGCAGCTCTACTCATTAGACTTCACAGGCCCCTGCCAGTCCTCCTTGGCCTCACCTGTTTCCAGGCTCTTGAAGCCTGAAATTCCTCGGGGTACAGCCCTGTCAGCTACACGTCTTTTCCATTTGCCATGGACAGGTCATCAATCCAGGTTTCTCCTCCCTCCCACAAAATACCTAAGTCATATCTGTGGCTACTCTCTACACCTGGAATTTTCATGACCAATCAATCCTGGACATCTTTGCCTGTGTCCACAGGAACTTAGAGCTAATCTCTGTCAAAATCGAATTTTGTATCTGCTCCTTCCTGGATATTCTGCCTGTCCACTGGTGAAACCACTTCTTGCTGAAGAACTGGAGCCCGTATACGTCCCACTCCTCACCTTCAGTCACCAAATCCCACCATTATTATCTTCTAAATATTTTCAGGATTCAGTTTCTCTTTCTTCCTCAATACCTCTGTCATTATTAGACCTAATATGTTTTCCTGTTCTTGTTTTTCCTTTTTTTATTGGTTTAAAGCTCTGTATCAACAATCTGTGGAAATTGCTTCCTATTAAAAATCTCTCACTGAAGTTCCTTCATGGACGAAGCTCATTCATCCATACAGCAAAATCTACCTCCTTCCAAGATGCACAGAGTCCTTGTAGAGCCTTGTCCTCCTTTGCTATCTTGCTTCCTGCTGCTCACTCTGTCTCAGACAACCCCTAAAAAAGCAAACCACCTGTTTGTGTCATTCACACATCAGCCACTTCCCACCACTTCTCTTCTGGCTAAATCCCCTCCCTATATGGCCACTGCTGTCCTTTCATCTCCATGGGTTGCTGTTTGGCTCCTCCTCACAATGAAGGCTGTAGCCTATTCAATTTTCTCTGTGTCTGTTTCCATGAAACAGAGCATGGGCTTTTTCAGTGCAGAGACATCCTAAGCACTAGGCCTCCAGCATAAGCCCACCACCTAGATGGTAAGTGCACACCTGATGAAGGGAGGACTAGAGTGTAGAGGCACTCCTACTCATTCTGATCATCCTTTTCTTCATGTAGCGTCACTGCATGGCGGACGTGGTCATATTTATCGAAAGTTCCATGAATGCCCTCTACATTTCCCAACCTGCCTTGCTCTTAGGTTGAATATCTACATAACAATACACATCACTTCCAGCACATCTTTAAAAATAGTCCTGACTCTCCAGCTCCTCTTTTCCTGGGCTTTGGCTCTTCTGGAAGTCTGGAGAAGATGGTAACACAAGACTGTGAAGGAGAAACCATGATTGACTAGTCAGGGCTGTGGGCATTAGGATATCCTGATAAGCCACTGAGACTTCAGGATGTATTTGTCCCCATGGTATACCCTGATCTACCCCCGTACCATGCTTATTTTAAGCTCATATATTAGCCTCCATCCTATCATGTACATAAGGACTTGTCACACCTTTTGCAGTGTGAAGCACTCTCTTCTGCTTAAATCTGCAGAACACCCAGGCTTACGGACAATGCACCTCGTGAGTAGTGTTTTCCACCATGCCTGCCCATGGCCAGCCAGCCCCCTGCTGCAGAGCCTGTGTATTGCAGGCTGTGCTTCCTAGATGTGACCCTCACTTTCCATCCTGCCCTGGTGGAGTAGTCCATTGCTAGTGCCTTCTAAGTGACACTGGGGATGTTTCAGAAAGTCCCCCACACTTACTCACACATGTCTCTGATTCCACAGTGGAATGTCATGGATATCCAACTTTAGATTTTAATCCAGGTTGTAAAGGAAATTTCTCCTGGGAATCCTGCTGTGCTCCACCACAATCCCAAGTTAAAGGAATCAGGAAGTGTTTGCAAAGTAGACCTCTTGGGCCGATATAGTGAGCCAAAGATGTGTGTGTAGCTCTGCTGACCTAGTTTTCAATATTCTTAGCGTGACTTTGATAAAATTCTGTTCTTCCTGTCTATGAGTATTTTATAAAATGCACTGGCTTTCCTCATTAGGTTCCGGATTTCACTGAACTGCGCGTGTATTGTATTATTTCAGTAAGTAATAATTCTTTCAGATTGGAACATCTGGTTTCATGTTCGACTTCACTCCAGAATGACATGGCATCACTGGGATCCACCTGTTAGCTCTCTCCTCACCCCTGAGGTTCCCTCGGATGCCTGCTCTCAATTTTGAAATGAGCAACAAAGAGCACGCATCCTTCCCCTAGAATCCTAGTAACTTCATCTTGCTTTGCGTGTGCTCTGAACGGCTCATGTTCCCATCCGAGAACTCATTCTTGCAGCCAACTATATGCAGTACCCTCCCTAGCTCAGATCTTGGCCACTTCCACAGAGTCTCAGAGTGCTATGCTTACAGAAAGCACCTAGAAGAAGAGGGAAGGGGACAAGTTCTGGAGAGAAGTTCACAGAGAGGTCCCTCCCAGGAGCAAGGATACAGAAGGTTCCACTGAGGGAAGGGGTGTCTCCTCACACAGGGAGTGTTATACTGGATCAAGCCTTTCTTCCCTTCTCCATTCTCCTGTGGGCCACCTTGTCCTCCCACGTGCGGTGGAACAGGAGGGCTTGATGACTACAGAACAGTCCCCTGCCCTCGTCGGCTTCTTAGTGAGGAAGAAACTTGTGGAGTAACTAGAGTGTGAAAAAAAATGATGCAAAGGATAATTGAAAAGAAATAAGGGAATAGATTAAGGTGGCTCAATAACAGATCTTAATTCAAATTATTATTGTTTTGATTGATTCCAAATAATTCTGGGTTGACCACCTCAGGATGCCCGGTGTCATTGGAGGTCTGTCAGCCTTATGATTTCTAAGAGGGCTAACACTGGCTTCCCAAATCAGAGCTTGAGATCCAACAAATGATGCCTGGAATCTGTGATGAGAGAAAGCTAACTTGGTTTTATTTTCTTCTCTCCTTTCTATCTTTCTCTCAGCCCGAAGTTCTGGATCAAATACAAAATTTAAGAGAGCTGTGGATGGATAATAACGCATTGCAAGTGCTGCCCGGGGTACGTAGGGCTGATGTTTTCTTTGTGTAGCATTCATGTTGCAAACTGCGTTTGATAATAATCATTCCTAAATATTGACTCTTCTTGTTTGCATTTCAAAGTAAAATAACACTTATTAGAAGTGTTTACTTACCAAACAACGTCCACAAATTTCTTTTAGAACATTTTACATATCTTTTGTGGCACATTAAAGATATACAAAATGTATGGATGATTTTTTTTTTTAATTCTCACATGAACATATGTGTCCTCTTTTTTTCATGCTCACTACTTGGTAAATGTCAAAAAATTCAGTTGTGTTTTTATTTTTTTCAGTTGTGTTTTTAAAAGAAAAATACAATCTAAAGTAGTAAAATTTATTTTACAAAACCGGACATGTTCTTATAGGTAACTGCACAACAGTTTCTGTTCACATCGTTAGAGTTCTTCCTCAAAATGAAATCAAGCCTCCTCAGTTTAAGCAATGTCCAATGAGACCCACCTAAGTGTTTGGAAATGTAAGGATTATAGAGCACTAGAAACAAAAATTGTAAGCCAAAGGCAGTGTGCACACCTGTAAATCCCAAAATTTAAAGGCTGAGGCAGAAAAATGTGAAGTTTGAGTCCTGCCTTTCTCAAAATAAAAAAGGACAGAAATATAGTTCCATGCAAAAGTCCTGCATTTAATCCCCAACACTGTAGGAGAGAGAGGGAGAGAGGGAGAGAGGGAGAGAGAGAGAGAAATACAAGTCTCCCAATCATTCCGTCCCCAAATTGCTGTCTTTTGCCAGGGAATCCAAGCAAGTGGATGTGTAATAATTCTCCCACCAACACAGAGACTTGAAGGTATTCTCAAACAATTTTGCTCTTCTTTTGGGCTGTACTAAAGCATTTCTTCAAATGACTTCAATAATAACCAGAACAAAGAGATCATTCCCCCTTTGAACAAATGTGAGACCACCGAGAGAGCACAACTGGAAGAAGATTAGGGGAAAAATCCTTTCTTCTCATATCAGAAGGATATGATGTTTTTATTATCACAAACAACAGAAAAGTTGCACATCCTCAACTTACTGATTCATTCAAAGTTGTTCACCAGTGGCCCTCTATGAGTCAGACATAACGTCGGTGTCAGAGTGACAAAGCTGATGTGCTCAGCGATTACATTTGCTTGAGGAGTGGCACCTGGCAGTGGGGTCAGGTCCGGATTCCTCTGCTCCGGGTCCAATGCACGCCCTAGTCAGAGCACGGCACCTTCCCCGGTCACACTTTTCCCTTTCAGTCTCTGTTACGCGTAGTACAAAACACCAGCTAGAAAATTATGGAAATGAGTAGTTTAGGAATTTCAAATAGCTTTTGCTACAGTATGTTTCTGTGATTATTTTATTATTAGCTATTGCTGTTCATTCCTTGACATGCCTGATAAGTTTTATCACAGGCCCTGATGGCCAGAATAAAGCATAGTGCACATAGCCGCCAGTGGTCGTGGCAGTTCTAGGCATCCAAAGGACATCTTGGGAAGTCTCGCCCACAAATAATAGGGGGAATCCTGTCTATGCAAATACTGGTACGATAGAGGTAAAATATTTATTGATGCCCTGTGCAGAAGTTGAGCCAGAATGTTTGTGCCTGCCTCCTCAACATGTTTATTTATTCAAAAACATGGGCCAGCAAAATCACTCAGCAGACTAAGAACCTGCCTTAGCAAGCACAGGGACCAGGGTTTGATCCCCAGTCCTACATGCTACACTGGCCCTGCCTCTGGGGCACGCTGAGCCAGTGACTGAGCCCAGGCATGGTGGTGCATGCCTGTAATCCCAGCGCTAGGGAGGCTGAAAACAGGAGGATCACTACGAGTCTGAGCTGCATAGTGAGACCCTGTGCCAAATACATAAAATGAAAAATAAATAAACACATGGCAGTAACCATGAGCTAGGTACCATCTAGAGGTTTTATAGATACTGACTCATTGAATCTTCATAGCATCCCTTTAAAGGAGACACCAAGTAACTGATCCAAAGCCATGGAGGTCCACAGGGACACAGCTACGACTCATACCAGCTCCCAGGAGGCTTCCCTTGGGGATGACACTTTAATGTGCCACCTCCTTAGAACCAGTGGAATTAGGCTCATCAGAATCTTCACAGGAGTCACTCTCAGAATCTAACTATGCAAATCAGCTTACACCTCAAATTCCTTAATAAACATATTGGTCCTAACTTGTCTTTTTTTCATGTATTCTTCTAGCTTTAAATAGATTCCTTACTTTATTTAGTGTACTCAAATGTGGCATTTTGCTATAGCCTGTGTGGGGATACCTCATACCTCTCTGTCCTAAAATCCATGGGTTTCTCAGTGTCGGTACTGTAATATAGTTGCTTTTAAATTACTGGGCAATACTCAGTTTATAAGAGCAGACTGGGGGCTTCAGTCCAAGTCTATCAATTTCACACAATGATTAATCATAATTATTTAGTATTATAAGACAAGAAAGGGCCAGGGAGATGGCTCAGTAGAATAAGCGCTTGCCTGGTAAGGGCAAGGGCCTGAGTTCAATCCCTGGTTCTATAAAAAAAAAAAAAAAAAGACAAGAGAAAAGCAAGTTCACTTTTTTTCTTAGTTTGTATAGTACAATATGGTAAGTTAATATACTTCTGGGAGCCAGGGCTATTATTTTCTACTCTATTTTTCATAAAGCAGGGAGGTCAAATAGGAAACAGTCAAATTTTCATCTTCTTTGTAGCTCTATCTCATGACCATTTGTCTAAGGCTAATCAAATAAAACATGACTAAGCCACACATTGCATTTATGTTGGTGTTCTGTTTTGTTTTGTTTTGTTTTGTTTTGTTTTGTTTTGTTTTGTTTTGGTACCTGGAATCAAACTCAGGACCTTACTTGCCAGGCAGATGTGTGCCACTGAGCTAAATCCCCAGACCCTTGTATTGTTTTTTAAACAAAATCCAGTATTGTCCTCAACTTGTGATCTCCACTCCTTTCTTCGGCTGCTCTCAATTCACTTGCAAAGCCCCCTGTATGCAGAGGAAGGTGGAGCGGCCTTCCGCATCCTCCAGGACTCGGAGGCATTCAGCCTCAGCTGTATCCGGCTGCCAGTGCCCTGATAGGGCATTTGCAAGTGAAGGCTCAAAAAGACTCAGAAGAGAATGGCAAAGCATTATTTCATTTCCAAGAAGACTTTTCAGAAACTGAATGTTAGAGGCAACAAAGTGGGGGTCAGGTAGATAGCTCAGTGACCTGAGTGCCTGCCTGGCAAGCACAAGGTCATCAGTTTGATCCATGGTATATATAAAAAAAGAGAGAAATGCCAAAGTGTTGAGCTGTGCTAGAGAGAGCAAGATAGCAATCAAAACAACTCCTGGGATGAAAGAGATTCAAAAAAGAAAGAAACACACACACACACACACACACAAGAGCACATATAACATTCTCTTATTTCTCAGCCAAAGTGTAGCTAAGATGACATAGCAGTTCTGTGGGGATGGAAAACCACTAGTAAAGTGACTGTTTTTCCAGGAGACATATTGCTAAAAGTAGAAGATGCCCTGCCTGTGGGGCCAGCTCTCCAAGGACTGCGTTTGCTCCAAGCCTAGCAGCTCTCCTTCTGGACTGCTCTTCTACACAGTGAGCACACAAGAGAATTCTGTTCCCAATTCTGGAATAACTCCTGCACTTCTCCACCCCCCTTAGAGGTTCTCTTTTTGAAAAGACCCTCCAGCATCAATATCCCCATCCAGGCCGACCTCCGTCCAGTGACCTTTCCTCGCAAGGGTGAGGAGGCCCAGCCCCACGGCTCCCAGTCAGGATCTGGACAAGGTGTCAAGACTTCTTGAAGGGCTGGCTGAGGCTTTTCTAGGACTTCATCGCAGCCCAGTTTGTCTGCCCACCTTGCTTCCTTCCCTTCCTGTTGCTGTTGGTTCCAAGAAGGCTCTATTGAGTACTTCTGTCTTGACCTCTGCTGCCCAAAGAACACAACAGGTGGCACTGCTTGGACACTAAGTTTTAATGCCTGTTAAGATCTGGATTAGCCTGAGAATCTGGGTTTTTTTGTTTTTGTTTTTGTTTTTTATGTTTTTTTGTTTTGTTTTGTTTTGTTTTGTTGTTTTGGGTTTTTTTGTGTGTTTTTTTGTTTTGACAAGCTTCCAGGTCATTGTGGTTGGTCAGCATTACACATTTTGAGTCACAAAAATATAAAGAATTTTTTTCTTTTTTTCTTTTCTTTGTATTTTTAGTACAGGGTCTATAGGGTCTCATTACACAGATGGGACTCATAGTGCTTCTCCTGTTTTCAGCCTCCCGAGCACTGGGATTACAGGCACCCGCCACCATGCCCAGTCTTAATCACGGTCTCAGCTTGCCCCCAGGGTGGAGCCAGCACAGCATGCTGGGGATCAAATCCCCACAGGCGCTTTAGTGCACTGAGCTATCTGGTGGCCTTAAGAATTATTTTTTTAATATGTAAAATACATAGCATGGTATCTAGTATACATTTATGTGTGCATATTAACTAATGTTTATACTCTAAAGAGCCAATATTTATACTTTCAGTGTATAAACATTAATTCATATGCACATATTAATAAAGGCTATATATTATATATTATATATGCAGGTAGATTAAATAGATGAACCACTTAACAACTACACTGTGTGGGGCATTTATTTGCAAAACATCCCCTAAGGAAAAAGAAACTGAAGACTTTCACCCTTTCTTCCTGCCCTCTCTCCTGCAGTGAATTCTGAGCTAAGTGGTGTCTGTTCATTCATTATCCAAAACAGGATCTGCTCCCTCTTTGGCTCCTAGCAACCAGTTAGCAATCCCGTCATCCCACTTCCAGACTTTCCTTAGGTTCATTCCTCTTCATCCTCACTTCTGCTCCTTAAGTACTAAATTACAAAGGAGCTAAACTACTTCCTTACATTAGTCCCTTGGTGTCCCCAGAAATAGGCTCCAAGGACACCCCACACATCCAGATGCCAAAATCTGCAGCTGCTCAAATCCCATATACAGAATGCTGTAATATTTGCATATGACCTATGCATATCTTCCCATATACTTTAAATCATCTCTAAATTATTTATAATGCCTAATCCAGTGTAAATCCTGTGTAAACAGTTGTTCCACTGCACTGAATAGCGACACAGAAGAAAGTTTGTATGCGTTTGGTGCATGTTTTCTTCTCAAATATTTTCAACCTAGTGTTGTTTGGCAATGCTGAGAGCCAAGGGTACAGTGCTCCTAAGGGTTTCCTTGACTCTAGTCATCAAAGCTCTGTTTGAGTGCTTCCTGCACTTGTTTCTCTAAGCACCAATGTGATAGTGTCATTCCCCATCTTCCAGGCTTCTGAACCTCTTTCCTCGCCTTAGGCAGGTTGCATCTCCCCACGTGACACAGAAGACCTTTGCCAGCTGGCCTCTTCTGCAACCCCAGCTTCCTCACAAATTCCAGTCACTTGAATGTCTCACTCTTTGTCAAAACTGCCATGGTTTTTCACACTTCACGGATGTGTGTGCATGTTCTCACTTCCACTTCCTGCTTGCTTGACAAGCAGGGTCTGTTAGAAAAGTCTGCAGCTCTGCCCAACTCCTCCATGGAATCCCTTACATGCATTCGATTGTATAGATCACTGAATAGTAGAATTATTTGTTTATTCGAACGTTTTCTTCACTGCTGCTCATCACTATGGAAAAATAAAAACAGTCTTCATTATGACAAGTTTCTGCCCATATTCAGCGGTCTGACTCATGCTTGTTTTCAAGTACATAACTCGGAGATCCAGACATAAGAAGCCTTCAGAAAAGGCAGATGACGGAGCAAATACTGAATCAGATGAGCAGAATAGAGCCCAAATCACAATGGAAACCATTTCTTGTGCATTTATATTTTATCTTAAAGGGAAAAAAAATCACAATGATACAGGATTTCAAAACAAGATACTATTAACAATGGTTATTAAATTGACATTGTTCTCTTAAAAGTAGTTGCTCAGATTATAAGATGTGGGCATGCAAAATTGATCACACAATATAAGCATAAATCATTCCTTTCAATTAACTAATAGAGATTAATAGCATAATTATCTTAACTATCTTGTTTGTGCATACGTATTTTTTCTTTTCCCTTTTTTGCTTTCTCCTTCCACCCACCCCAGTTGTTCTTTCCTTTCGAGCACCTTCTTTCCCTTTCACAGTATCTAGTGCACTTTGGGATCTTATTGACTCTTTTAGTTTCTTACGCTAGGAAGAAAATACTATATTCACACAGTCAGGCCTGATTTATTTCACTTATGAGTATGGTCTAGTTGCATCCATTTACAAGCCTAGCGTTTATCCTTCTTTATAGCTGAGTAGTACTCGAGGGCATAAAACTATCACATATTTTTTATTCATTTTTTGGTCAATGGGTACTTGGGTTGTTTCCAAGATTTAGCTATTACAAATTATGCATGTATTTAAGTTTGAATGAGGCAATGTTCTTTATTACAATAGCAACTATAGTTATTAAGTTAGTTCTTCTATCCAGTAACAACTTTGGGATTATTGTTGTATTTGGCCTGTTGCATTGGTGTAGCTCTATTGACTATGTCTTGGATATAATTCACATACCATATACAACTCAGTGGTTTTTAGCTTACTCATATACATGTGCAGCTATTTCCACCATGCAGTCTTAAAAGATTTTCATTATCCCTAAAAGACACTGAATCCATTAGCAGCCACTCCCATGCCCTGCCCCACCCCGCCCAGTAGTCCCAGTGTACTTCATGGACTTGCCTATGCTAGACATGTCATACAATTAAAATCATACACTATGTGATACAGGATGCTACTGGCAGCCGGGAGGGCTCTCCCATCTTGCACACATGTCAGCACCTCATTGCTTGTGCCAAGTAACAGAGCCTGACTTGGACAGAGAACATTCTGCTCAGCCACACCTCAGTGGCTGCAGGTGGACATTGCTGCCATTGTGGTGCTATTCTGTAATTGCAGCTGTGACAATTTGGGTAAGGTTTCCTCTGGGCATTTGTTTTTATTCTCAAGCTTATAGGAAAGGGCTGCCAGGTTACATGGAAACTTTATGTTTAACATTTACGAAAACTGCCTAACTTTTCCCAAGTGAAGGAACCATTTTGCATCCTGACTAGTGCCACATGAGGACTGCATATTTCTATATGCTTTTCAGCACTTGTTACTGTTGTGGTTGCCCCTCTGTCTTTCTCTGCCTCTGTCTCT